TTTTGGTAGGTCATGGGGTTTGAACTCTGGGCCTGGGCACTGTCCCTGAGTCTTTCTGTGCTCAAGGCTAGTAGTGCTCTACCACTTGAACCACAGGGCCACTTCCAGCTTTTTTTGCTTATATGGTGCTGAGAAATTGAACCCAGGGCCTCATGCATGCAAGGCAGGTACTCTACCACTAAGCCACATTCCCATCTCCTCCCTGATCTCCTTTAGTTCAGGGCTAGCACTCTACCACTTGAGCCACAGCACTACTTCAGGTTTTTTTGTTCTGTTTGTGTTACTAGGGAATCGAACCCAGGGCTTCACTCTACACTAAGGCAAATCCCAGCTCCCATTATTATTATTAGTTATTTGGTCGGTCGTGGGGCCTGAACTCTGGGCCTGGGCACTGTCCCTCAGCTCTTCAGCTCAAGGCTAGTGCTCTACCATAGCTTTTTCTGCTTATGTGGTGCTGAGGAATCGAACCCAGGGCCTCATGCATGTAAAGTAACCACTCTACCACTGAGCCACCTTCCCAGCCCTTATTAGTATTAATAAATATGAAGGGGTCAGCCTGACAAAATTCTAATTCTTGACCTGATGGGGCTCCACTTCCCAGTTCCAGGTCGCTACAACCTGGTCCACGCATGGACAGACGGTACCCCAAAGGTTCTGGCTGGCACTCCACGGAAAACTGAGAGCCAGATACGGCTCATAGGAAAGACTGGAGTGGACATGGCCTCCGTGGATCTACCGGACCGGAACCTCCACAAGCCGGTCTGGCGGGACGCACAACTCCGGGAGCCGCCTCCAGGCAGCTCAGAGAGAAGTGACTCAGGAAGCGAAAAGTCGTTCGAGTGAGTCCACAGTGACGTTTGCACCCACTGGCCTTCCGGGCCGGCTCGCATAGAGCTCTGACTTTACCGGGGTAACAGGGAGGCGGGACCACATTTCCCGACTGAGGCTGCGCGAACTCCAGGATCCGGCTTCCACCTAGCGCCGCGTTACCACGGAGACGGAGGCGTGGCCGGCGTCCGGAGGCGCGCGCGAAGTGCCGGGGCGAGCCCGGCCCGCGTCAGGGCTTGGGGGAGGCTCTGGATTCTCGAGCGCTCCCCGTAAATTGTCCTCGGCGGCGTGAGCCGGACTCTGCTGCCCCCAGATACCAGGACGAGGGAGTTTGGCCACTAGTGCTGGTGAGTCCGGCCGCATTCGCCAGGGGTAGGCCCCGTGACGACTCCGGGGGAGCTTCCGCTTCCTCTTGTGTCACTTCCCGACCCGACGCGGATCCCGGCGGGCACCTGCGTGCGAGAAGAGCGCGCGCGAGGACGCGTGCGGCCCGCGTCGTGTTGTTCTGCGGGTTCTGTGGGGCACGCTCGGCTCCTCAGTGTGCGCAGGATGGGGATCGGGATTCCCGGAGCTTAGTGGGGCCAGGCGCCGGCGGGCCCAGGGTTCAGGGTGGTGGAACTAGCATAGTGAACGTGACTTTGCCATCCCCCCCCCCCCACCAGGAGTTAACATGTGTAGAACCAGACTTTGAGGACCAGTCCCCAGCTCTTCCACTTGCTAGCTGTTGACATTTAGCAATCTTATCTATAAAATGAAGATGCCAACCACCTGATTGTCTTAAAATCAGGTGATTCTTGAAAAAAAGAGCTCAGCCTGCAGCCTGCCTGACAGTTACTTGGTCCTTGTTATTTTGGTTTCTCATCTCTATGTTTTAGAGTACGTGGTTATTTCCAGACCACCTGAGTGTATAATACTTGGTGGTGTCAAGCAAGGCTGCCCAGTTGAGCGTCCCCTCCCCCCCCACACACACTCAAGAAATTTCTGGCAGTGGAGGTGTGGCTGTGGCTGTGTGTGTGTGTGGGGGGGGAGAGCTGAGAGAGCCTCTAAGGCTTGAATTCAGGCCCAGTACCAGCAATAAAACATTTAAAAGATATATATAGGGGCTGGGAAGGTGGCTCGGTGGTAGAGTGCTTGCCTTGCATGCCAGAGGCCCTGGGTTCGATTCCTCAGCACCACATAAGCAGAAAAAAAAAGCCGGAAGTGGCGCTGTGGCTCAAGTGGTAGAGCGCTAGCCTTGAGCTGAAGAGCTGAGGGACAGCACCCAGGCCCAGAG